ACATGTCAGCCTAATGGACACGGGCAGACAGTGGCGGGAGCTGCCCGTCGCTCCAGACTCGCACGCACATTAAGAACATGCATGCGTGTCAAAAATCCCATGTTTTTATTGAAAGAGAAACAAAACAAAAAGAGCACCAAATTTCACTGCGCGGTTTGTGGCGAGAGAGCCAGCAGCGTTCGTTTTGTGCACTGATTATGCGCAAGAAAGAAAGAAAGAAAAGAACAGGAGAGAAAGACGTTGTGCGTCAGAGAAAAAGGAGAATGTGCGGCTGAGAGAGAGAATTCAGTGTTTGCATGTGTGCCGGTTCCCAGCCCTGTCAGTGAGCTGTCAGAGCGTGATTTATGGTTGTGAGACTCACAGCAGTCCTTGCTGCCATTCAGTATTGTTACAACTGACATCTAATGAGGCCAGACGTGCTTTCAAGCACAGCACTTAACACAGGCCTCCATCTCCACCAGTCACAGGCCCTCTTTTCTCCTCCTCTCTCACTCCCATTTATTTTCTGCATCTGGGGTGGCAGACCAAGGAAAGGAGGAAAGACACGGTCTTGCTGCTAGAGCTTACAAAACGGAGAGCGCAGATTAAGCTGCAGTCAGCAGGCTTTTTTTTCCATCCATCTCTCCCCCTCCCCTTGATACAAGCCTGCACAATGGCAAATTAAAGTAGAGCGAACCTTAATATACTGATGACTTTGCTCTGAAAGGCAATATCTCACCGTTTTTCTACGCCATTCAATTTTTCAACTGCTTAGTAATTGTTTGGAGGATAGTCTGCGCTCTGGTCTAATCATATTGGTGGCTGTGTCATTTTGAAAGGGAGGAGGAGTAATGCTGGATGAGAGCTCCTTGGCTTTGACTTTTTCCTGATCTTGGGTTTCTGCTCCGCTCCTCTTCGGGCTGCTAGCTTAGTCAGGACCCCTCGCAGTAATCATAAACAGAGCCGCTGGCAGCGGCACCCGCGTACTGCGCTCCCTCCCTACACCCCCTGCTCCAGTTCCTTGTCAGACATGATTAATGGCACACGGGCCCGGTGCGCTTTGCGTTGCCAGTTCCAGCGATGTTCCCTTGATACTTAATGAAGTCTGACAAACTTCTTTTCCCTCATTGTGTTCCAGTTATTTTTCCCCGCTCCATTTAAGAGAAGCCCAATGTAGCTAAATTTGCCACCGCCACACAAAAGCATAGGTCAAAGATTTCATATTTATTGCGCAGTCGAGGAGCGCAGCCTATAACACCGCTGGCAACGTCGGCTGTTTCTCAGGCAGCTCGTGTTGTTGCTCATACTTCAGATTTGAGTAGTTTTGATTGCAGTCATTAGACGTTCCACAACTTCAGTTCCAAGAACTAAAGGTCACAGTGGCCTTACAGGACAAGGTCTGCGGTGTCTCAAACACATGCGCTGATTTTACTTACTGCCATCCAGTGGAAGATCTTGTAATATATCTTTTTTTTTTGTTACTGTGCAAAGATCCGTGGCTTTTTTTCAGAAGAGGCAGAACATAGGAATATTACAAAATATAAGATTAAATAATGTGTAAATCACTAATTTTTCCTAAAGTAATGCAGTCCACTAGCAACAACGGCAGAAAAAAAAACAGGTTTGGCTGATTAGCCTGTCAATGCAATGATGTCCACCTATCATGCTCGCAAACTGGCCTGAAATGGTAAAATTGGTGGAAATAGATGGACAAATTTCAAAGAAAACAAGTTACACACGCAGACATCACCACTTTCAGTCATGTCCAAATTGAAACTACTTAAAATTATTAACTGTGAGGAGCGAGACGTTTTTAGCAAGCACACAACTTTCTTCAAATTTAAGATGAACATAATACACGCTGATTAGCAGTTGGTAGCAGCAAAAAAAAGTATGTGCTTACTGTTTTATTGTAAATACATTTTAAGCAATGAGGGGGGAAGACATTTTTTTTTTTTTTTGATGTGTTTTTTAAAAAATGCCTATATCAATATTTTAAAAAATCTAAAAAATTATATATTAATATAAACAAAGAAATTTATAACTACAGTACACTTAATAGTACTCATTGATAGTGTTTATATATATATATATATATATATATATATATATATATTTATTGAGTTATACTAATCTGTCTAAATCTCAAAAAAGAAATGGAGCATGAATTCCCCATTTCATTTTAAAAATGTAAATCAGAAAAAAAGAAGCTTAAATATCCATATTTTACATGTCTTTAGCCTGCTGCATTGTAGAATACATTATGATTTGAAATTTAAATTAATTCAAAGGCAATCTAAACAGCATGATTAACATAATTACTATGCAAAGGAAATGCAAACCATGTTGTTGATGGTTAGTGTTGATAAAGAATCAGCAGTGTGGATAGGAGAGAACGTACACTTGGGAGAACAGAGCTGTGATATGTTACAAAACTTAAACATGTGTCATTTTAACAGAACACTACTGGTCTGCTACAAGAGCATCAAGGATATTTAAAAGAAAAAGTGAGAGAAAACAGCTTACAGAGCCACTGTGCTGTTTTGTTGCCTTCTCTCTAATGCATTTTGTCTCTGCGGTGAAGACTGTACTCTGTACCAGCAGGGGGCTCTGTTGTTGCAATTTAAAAGCAAAGCAAGTCAATACATAAGAATACATAAATCAAAGGCTACATACCATCAATACATAAAAAGCGCTGCAGCATTTTCATGTAGTTTCTACCATCTTGCAAAACACTTTGAGGCATAGTTGAGCTAGAATGGGAGTCATAACTAGTCTGGTGAGCAGGAATATCCTTTTCAAACTGTTCAGTGGTAATACTTCAGTGTGGTTAAAGAGCGGTCTTTAACCTGCTGTGCCTACCACACAAGTAAGCTGTAATTGTATTATGACATGTCCAATCAAATAAATCAAAGAGCCTTCACTTGAAGAAACTCTTTGCTAAGAAACTCATTACATGGTGAACACTTCTAACTTAACCTATCTATCTAACCCTAACTCTGTGCAGAAGACAAGCCACCAGCCTGTATTAAAAGTATAATACTGAAAGCTAACAAACATGGAAACATTTGGTTCCCTTTCATGGGAACTTCGAACTGCGTCCTCTAGGGGTTGCTATGGGGAACGCCTCGTCGTGACCCGTGTCTGAAGCATACATTGAAAAAACACCAACTCGTTGGCCGGCGACAGCCATGACGTCACTACCGGTGCGACTATAGTATAAATAGGCGCCGGGAGCACACATCATTCTCTTCTTCGTCTTCATTGACTGCGTCCTCTAGGTTTCTTGCCATGCTGCGGACGCAAGCTTCAGACGAAGAAGTGAATGATGTGTGCTCCCGGCGCCTATTTATACTATAGTCGCACCGGTAGTGACATCATGGCTGTCGCTGGCCAACGAGTTGGTGTTTTTTCAATGTATGCTTCAGACACGGGTCACGAAGAGGCGTTCCCCATAGCGACCCCTAGAGGACGCAGTGTCTCGTTCCCTACTCAGGGAACCATGGTTACACAAGTAACCTGAGACGTTTTCATTAGTGCAGTGTACAGTAGCTTGGACTACAGTTTTTCCAGCCTCTTTGGAGACCCCCTTGTTGCAGTTATGAGATACATAGCAAATAAGAGAAAGTCACAACTGATAAATAAGTAGCAATTACGAGCCTGAAAACACAACGTCCATAACACATTGTATTCACTGGCACAAAAATGCTGTGGTTACTGGGACACATTCAAGCGTTGTGCTATCTAAATCAATATTTTTTTTAAATAAGTGCTTACCATCCTTACTGAATCAGGGCCCATATTTGCAACCCAACAATGATTTACTGTATTAAGTTATATCTGAAATATTCTGTCTACTGAGAACAAAGCATCACAAACAGGGCTGTACACAATTCACACTTAAAGTATTATCTCTATTTCAATTTATGAGTTGACATTTAAATTTATTTGGCCACACCTCACATGAAAATAGGCATTAAAGAAGTGGAATTTACTGCATGACAATTCAAAAATAAATAGGTAATGGCATTGACCTGGTAAGTATTCTACTGCCCTGGTACATAAATACAATCTGTATCTATCTTCATCAAAAATATATTTATGTGAAGACATAATATAACTATAAAAAGTGATCTTGATCTTGTTTACTCCACATTACTATATCACAATAAATCACATTGTCAATTTACCACCCTTGTCTGAACTACAAGTATGTCACAGGAATACTATACCTTTTTTTTTTTTTTTGAAATGGTGAACATTCCCATATACTGATTAATCAGTAGAAAACAAGAAACTAACTATGTTCTAAACTACATTTACAGTATGTTCTTGAATGTTGAGGAAAGTCTCTACCAGCAGAGGGCGCTCTTGCTACAGAAATGTTTATTATATTACTTTCTTTCTTTTACCACCTTTGTAATTGTGATTATTTTAAAAATATGTAAGTGATGTATGATAAGAAATATGTTCCAAGCTAGTTAACATGAATGCTTTTTTATCTCGAGATAAGAGAAACTATTAATAGGGGGGAAAACACTGTACAACATACAACACTACAAGCAATGCCTTCGAATTCTGCAAATAGGACAAATAAACAAAGACAGGGTTCACAACCAGTCAAGCATAGCATTTTCACTTCAACTCCATCAGCTGCACTTTTTAATAAAGCAAAAGCTACAATGTAACTCCATATCATTCCTGGACTCATTGCTGACATGCACCATGATCAAATTATGTTCAAGACATATAATCAAAGCAAATGCTGTAAGAAATGACTTGAATAACATTTGATAACCATGAAGCTGGCTGATATAACTAGAAGCTGCTTAGAACAGCAGTGGAATGGCAAAGCCAAGCACATGACTCAGAATGACTCTCTAACAAGCACACACAGCATGTACTGACCTCTCATATTTACAGCTCAAACTTCAAAGCCAAGCTAAGTGGCGTTGTGTCAATGTCTAGGCACATTACCAACACGCACTGGTGGATTTTGTGTTGTGCATACTGTACAGTACCTTGCTTTACTTGTTTCATCAGATCTTGAAATAACATACACGTTTCTATCCCAGCTTGAAACTGTCAAGACAGCTTGGGCCTGTATATCATGAGTGTCTGAAAGGGGGGGCATTGGAAAAACATACATATTTCTTACATATAATAAATACTAACCCTCAGCACCTGAGTTTTATATTATATATAGTATATTATACTATACTATATATAGTATATTTTATTATTAATATTTATTATATATATATATATATATTTTTTTTTTTTTTTTTTTTTTTACAAATTT